TATTACAAAAAAAAAAAAAAAAAAGAAGCATAATGCAAGAATCCTCTAGTATTTGAAGGTGTTAGTTGAATGAAAAGATACTTAATGACATAACAGGTAGTAGCTAGTGTTAGAGCTACATAGTGTTTTGATACATATTTGCATGGGGCAATCATTTAACAAGAATTGAAAAGGGATAGTCCAAGCTTCCATTTTACAATAATTACATTTCATATTCTCTCTTTCAAAAAACATCAATTACATGTTGAGGACAAAATTATTAAGTTTTTTATTTCATTTTTTGATGGAACAAAAAACAAATGAAGGTGCACGTGTGAGACATTATCAATATATATTAATACCAACAGAGTTCGAGTGATGATTATCCTTTTTAGTAATTTGAGTGGGATGTAAAAAAGTATCACTAAGTTTATTCATTAAATGGTTATTTATATAAATGTTTTTTTATACAATTATCAATATATTTTTCATCAATTATCAAAAAAATTGATAAGAATACTAATTTAATTGATGAATTTATGTGTATCCCATATCAAATACTATAACTCGTTTAAATTGCAAAAATTGCATGTAATGCTCGGAACATGCAAATGACATGAAATGATAATTCGAATCATGTTTGCCGATAACAATATGTAATTTCAACAAGCAAGTTACCATATCTAAGTGACACCCATCTAGCAAGCATGTACAACCAAAAACATTTAGTGCTGTAATCTGCCGATTTCTATATTTCTAAATAATGGCTTCCCTGCGCTTTCTACTCTCCTACTTTATTCTATTAAGATCTTCCTCTTCCCGTTTAGCTAATTTCAATGCAATCCTTTCTTCAAAATCATTTTGTTCATCTTCATCTCTCGCAACCACATATAAAAAACGGAAAAGTTAGGCCAAAAAACATGCCGGCTTGATATATATTTTGGTGAAGGTAAAAAGACGTTTTGAATTGAAATATGGCATATCCATTATGAAGCTTAATTCTATATGCGAGTTGACACGTTAATGGCAAGAATAAGCAGGATACAAAATAAGGATGCGGCAAAGCACTCGTTGATGGTTCTATCAAATTGAACAAAAGTCAATAGTAGATTACGTAAAATGAAAAAAAAATTAATCACAATATTCATGCTGGAATTTCGGGAAATGGCAAGAGGCCATTTTCATGTAAATACATTCATTCAAGCGACTCAAGTAATTAAAGTGTTGCAAATGCATGAAATCATGAAAGCAAGTAATTCTATAGACTCAACAACTCACATAGATACAAACGACAAACTTTTGGAATGCCTTCAACAAGCAAATCTGTACTCTTTCGAATTATCATTTCACATTATTGCAAACTTTTTAAAAGCATGAAAGCGAGTAATGTTGAGTTATAAAAGTTTCCCGAATTACATATTGTTTAGAGTCCATCAACCAGTTAGAATATATAGCACAAGTTTTTATTAGTATTATTGAGTTATCCAGGAAAGTAATGCTCATGTGAATGAGAACTTCGGTTAGTCTATTAAAATTGCATGCGAAATATTAAGACATCAAATAGTGCAGAGAACTAAGCTTTAGCTTCGATGAACCTTACCAGCAGATGAGAGAAGTCAAGTTCCTTGTATGTGACTCGAAAATTTGATATCAAATGGTGCAATTCGAACGGATACAACTCAAAAGTTGTAAACCTTATTGCATATTTAAATAACCACCAAATAACAAAATGGAAGAATAAGGGAAATAACTCTGCTCCCTTAAGATTAAAAGATGCTTGATAAGAAAGAGTTGCCCATCCATTGTCGTAGATCTCTTTGCAATGAGTTTTATAACTCAACGTTACCTCGCTTTCATGCTTTCAAAAAGTTTCGATTCTTCCAAACCAAATAACGCCCTCAAATACCTTAGCTTAGTTCTCTGTCTTCACATTATTGCAAACAAACCCATCAATTGAATGACGAACGAACAAACTCAAACCAAATAATACCTACAAGAACAAAATCAAAAAAATCATACCGCCCTCGTTGAGGGAAAAAACTTTAGAGGAGATGCGAATGGGTGTCACGAAAGTGGCCGCTCGGAAACACCACTACGACGGCTGTCGGACGCAAGCAACGGGAAACAAAAAAAATACAAATTATAGGCACGTTGGTAACGGATTCAGCGAGAGAGGGAGTGGGTTTGCGAGAGGTGAGATCGGACAATACAACGAGAGAGAAGGGCGAGGCATATATCGAAAATGGCGGATGGTTTTGCGGAGACGAGTTTCAAGGTCGTTTTGGGAATGGATTAAGCGAGAGAGAAGGAGTGGGTTTGCGAGAGGCGAGGCGAGATCGGAAACTACAACGGAAGGGAAGGGCGAGGCATATATCGAAAATGGCGGATGGGGTTTGCGAGAGATGAGTTTCGTGGTCTGTTTTGGTCACGGATTCGGCGAGAGAAAGGGACGATTTGCAAAGGCAGAGGTGAGATGACCGAGCAATAGTAGGGAAAGACAAGCAATGGCGGAACATGAGTTTCCTTCCGTTTTGCAGAGAGAAGGAGAGAAGGAGTGGAGTTGCGGAAGTTCAATTATGGTCGTTGGTAAGCGAGCGAGAGAGAGAGTGCGGGGAAGAGGAAGAGAAGGGATGGTCGCCAAGGGCGAAACTGGAAGAAGCTGCGTTTCCTTCCGTTTTTCTCCCTATTTCCTCCCGGCTTTGGGAGGAAAATGGGTCCCACCTCTTTTAGTTTTGTTTAATATTTTTTTTCTTTCCTCGGTTTTCTTCTACAAGCCAAATGGAGGAAACCTTTTCTTTCCTCCCTATTTTCTTTCCTCTCCCTCACTTTCTACCCTATCCAAACGGAGGGTTAGTATTGTTCGTAGTAAGGACTCGACAGCAAAAACGTACATCCTCATTATTACATTAACGTCCATTCTCGGATGATCCCACATGAACAGCTCACTCACCGTATTCATATATTCAAAAAAAAAAAAAAAAAGAAGTTGTAATCTTTATAATCATGAGCAAATTATAAATTAATGCATTTCGTTTTGAGAAATAAATAAATTATTTTTTTATTTTTAAAATTAATTATTTAGTTTTTTAATTAATATTGATTATGATTAATTTAATATTTTTTATTTAATAAAATGTCTTTTTTGTCAATTTTTTTTATATATGTTCACTTATTTTTTAATTTATTTTTTGTGTTTTTTATAAAGAAAAAAATAAAATAAATTGAAACAAATAAAAAAATTAAATAATTAGCTTCTTAAACTAAAAAAAATAGTTAATTCATTTCTCAAAACGAGAGGAACTAATTTGTAATTAGCTCTTATAATCATTGATTTTAGAAATAACAATGCATTTTGCATTATTTATCTGTTTAATAAAATCCTTATATTCCAAGATTAAAAAATAAAATAAAATCCATGGAATAAAAAGATTAACACCCTTATTACGTGCAATTTCGTTGTCAAAACACACGCTTGGGCTTACTTCCCTTTACTAGGGAGATCCGCAACCTCCTCTCAGAGAACAGGAAAATGCTTACAAGTTGCAAGTTAAATAATATGAAGTCACGGTCAAGAGAACAGAAAAATGCTACATTTATGGAAATCATTTTTTGGTTTGCGAGGGGAAGCAGTTAGCAATTCCTAGGACTCGAACTCAAGAAGATGCCACAGTCTTTACCAGACAACCAACCGGGGGTAACACCGGAATAGTAACTCATTAAAAGAACAAAATTTTGGAATTTCTAATACGTTAGATGATTAGATCCCATATATGAAATGCATTCATCCAATGCAACAAAATTTAGAAGGTAAATAATACATCACAAGAGGAAAAAATAAATAAAGGCATAATCCCAAAGGCTGCATAGATATCTATTTCATATTCCATAACACTAAAAATTTCTAAATTCAGTCTCGTTTTAAAGTTTAGACAAAAAAACACAAAAGACCGCACCAAACCTACTCTTGCACATCTCCGCTCAAACCTTCTCTTTCACATGCACTTGCTGCAAAGTATAAGATTGCCCTTCCTGAAGGGTAATTGCCTACAATTACGATAATGTTCAGCTCACGAGGTCCCAGACAAAAAACACAAAAGCCTAGGATGGACACACGCATATTTAATCAAACAACATCACAGTCCTCATTGATAAATCATCCAAAATAAAGATCAACCATCCTCTTTTACAACAGTAACTCTATTCTAGAGTGAAAGAAAAGAGCAACCTTGGTCCGAAAACTTAGAAGCTTCACGGATCAGAAACCGAAAGCGTTATGGGCCACAGACCAACAACTTTCAGCACATCACACTTCCAAATCCCCGATAAGCCTTTGATTTGGTTAAGTAATAATAATACTCCGTCCACATCTTTGATTTAGTTTAGTAATAATAAACTCCTTGGCACTTCCAAAAAGTCACATTCAAATTCTTTTTACTAGAGTAATTGAGGTTAAAAAAAACCTAATCACAAGAGATGTAAATATCCGTTATAATAAGACTCCCATCAGCCATCCCTTTATTCAAAAATAAAAAATTAATTTAAAAAAATAATTGAAGAAACATGAGATTTTTAAGTTTCCAAACAGTGGAAAGAGCCAATGTCCTGGTAATTTTCCATAACTTGAGTAACGATCAAACATTATAAATTACCAGACCCAGGAACCCAGGTGACCAAGTCCACTATAGTCGCAATTTATGGAAAATTTTCAAAACGTAACCAATTTCTGACTCCTAGGGCCAAGTCAGGCATGGAAAACTACACATGGTTCACGAACAGATATATTTGGTCGTTCATTGCCATTTCCACGGACCATTTGTCAGAAAAAAAAAGATATAAAACTCTGATGAAAAAAAAGACTTCATCTAACTCACCAAGAAATTTCCATGGTTCGAAATAAACAAACGAGCTGTCCAATACATCTAAAAAGCTGATCATTCTATAAGATAAGAAACAAAACCCCTCCAAATAAAAAACACAGAAATCAGACGAGGCTCTTCAAATTGATGAACTAAGATCACCACTCAAGAGGAAGCTTGAGACTTCTTTGACTTGCTGGTTGCTAGTTGGGTCTCAGGCTGCAATCAGTATACAGAATTAGAAAAAAACTGAAAAAGAGAAGTAACATTTTAATAAATCCACCTTGTTGCGTTTATTTACTGCAGCTAATGAATTACCTCTTTCCTAACTGGCTCTTCCTTCTCGGACAAAGTCAACTCAATGTGGCATGGGCTGGACATGTAAGCTGGCAAGGAAAAAAAAAACAGATTCCTATAAATACAAACAAAAACAGAAATGTATTATGAACTAATAATGATCTAATCAAAACAAACTTACGATTAATTCTTCCATGTGCCCTATAAGTACGACGTCTCTGCTTCTGTGCCTGATTCACCTGGATGTGAGAAATGTAGAGCGCATCCACATCCAAACCCTTGACCTGAAAAGGTCAGCCCGCAATCAGCACAATGACATGCAGGAGATAATCAGAACATGAAGACCAAATAGATAATAGAGATATACCTCAGCATTGCTCTCGGCATTCTTAAGCAAATCCAGGATGAACTTGGCAGACTTGACAGGCCAGCGTCCTTGTCCATTTGAGTGTCTGTTCTTTGCTTGAGCAGTACGCCCCACTCCACCACAGAAGCGTCGGAATGGAATGGCCTGTTTGTGAGCCATAACATCTTCCAAATACCTCTTCGCCTTGATCAAAGGCAACTTCCTTAGTGAGAAAGCTGTCTCCCTTGTATTCTGCATAACATTAAAATGGATGCACGTCAAAACAAGCTAAGAAAATCTCACAATGGGGAGACATAAAAGCTCAGAACATGATTGCAAACAAACTCATCCAACACGTTGGACTGACTGGAGTGTTTTGAATTCCATATTGAAACCATTTGAGATAAAATTCAACAGGAACAGGGGTTCAAACATCAATTGATGGCAATTAATACAGCTAGAAATGAAAACCAACACTTCAAACACAAATGCATAAAGAAACATCTGCATGAATGAGATGTATTAATACAGCTATAAAAGCTCAGAACATGATTGCAAACAAACTCATCCAACACGTTGGAATGACTGGAGTGTTTTGAATTCCATATTGAAACCATTTGAGATAAAATTCAACAGGAACAGGAGTTCAAACATCAATTGATGGCAATTAATACAGCTATAAATGAAAACCAACACTTCAAACACAAATGCATAGAGAAACATCAGCATGAATGAGATGTGCCATCATTTACTGAACCTTCCGCCACCAATAAAAACAGAGGTTCACCCAATAACGATGCAATTAATTTTCCTGAAGTTTATGAGAGCCCTGTTCACAAAAGGCAAAAAGGCCCTGCTTTTTTCATCAGGTTAAGAATCAGAACAGAAAAGGTAGGGGGAGTTGTTTTTGGTGGGTATATACAAAGCTTCATTTCAGAAATCTTATGTCTTATTATTTACCACATCTTATTTACGAGGAAAGTGATGTTTTCCCCAACTCAAAATGTAAAGTACTGCAGATACCAGTAACTACAAATAAAAGATCAGAGATCCTCCTAATCAAAGATCACGGTAAATATTTGACTTTATACTCTCAAGTAACAAAGTGATTTAAGCTTGTTATACTGTTTCTTGAAGAAATGAGGATCTATATTGTTGTAACATGTAATTCCCCAAATGCTACATCAAATAACTATACAATAAAAAAAGAAAAAAAGAAAAAAAAAAGAGCATCTATATTGTTCTGTACACCAAAAATTGGTAATTATTAAATTGAAGACTATACTCCCAAGTAACAAATAGATCTAGTAATATAATTATTTAAGCTTGTTATGCTGTTTCTTGAAGAAATGTGCATCTATATTGTCCTGAACACCAAAAAAGCTTGCAATTCACCAACTGCTACATCAAGTAACTATTCAACAAAAGCAAAAATAGGTCATAAAACCAATAGCACCAGCAGAAGCCAAGAAGCATTAATTAAGTAATTAAATCTATCAAAAACTATGCATATAAAAAAATAGTAACAAAATGTGCCATCGTTTACTGAACCTTCAGCCACAATAGAATAAAACAGAGGTTCACCCAATAACAATGAAACTGATTTTCCTGAAGTTTACGAGAGACCTGTTCACATGGGCAACAGACCCCTGCTTTTTTCATCAGGTTTTACTAATAAATCAACCCAAAAATAAATCAATGACAAGCAATGGCATACGAAAAAAAAACGAAGAGAAACAAATCAAAATCCTAAACAAAATACCTTAAAATGAACTCTGAGGTCAGAGCCCCTTGCCTTGCAAGCTGCAAAATAAGCATAGAAACAATAATATCAGAATAAGAAGTCGGATACTCATAAGCAAGCACAGAATACCCAAATAGAAAAATATTTGTACACTTACACTTGGTGGGATTATCAGGCTCTCTAGAGTACTTCACCTAAAAAAGCAAAGAAATAGAAAAGGAGTGTGATTTACAGATGTGAAGATTCAATGCAAGAAACAAAGGAAGAAAGGAGAGAGAATCGGAGATGTACCATGGTGGCTGCACCTTCTGCCCTGTCGAAGCTGGAGATATGTTGATTTGGTGGCTCTAGTTGAAGAGAAGAAGAGTTGCTGCTGGGAGCGGTTTATATAGGGTTGCTAAATGAAAGAAACCCTAATTCTGACAAACTTCAACGCTTCTCTTCTTTGGGCTGGGCTGTTTGGGTTCAGCTTACGTCTTATGAAGCCCACTTCAAAAACAAGCAAGCGGGGAACTTTCATTGGAAGAGCCGAATGGGCTTTGCAGCCCAGCCGCATAAAAGGTGGGGTCACATATGAAGGACCCAATAGCTGAACAACTAAGCAGCATCCTTTATTATTATTATTATTTATTATAAAAAAACAATAACAACGGTAGAATTATAGAAAAAAAATGATAAAGAAATGATTTTATTTTGAAATAAAGAGAATATAAAATATAACAACTCTAAATAACATTTCAGTTTTTATAAAATATTTGTATATCAACTAATAAACAATTAAGTCTATTTATATGCTTCAAGATTAAAGAGAGAATTTGAAATGACTATAAATTATTAAAAGATGCATAAATTGCATCCTTTTAATTTTTCATATTGAATGATAAATTGAATCACGTTAAGAATAATAGATAGAAAGAATAATAGATAGAGGGAATAGTTAAACAACCAAGCAGCATCCTTTATTATTATTATTATTATTATTATTATCATCATTATTACTATTATTTTGCCCAATGATAATTCATTCTTTCGCATATCAGGAAGATGGGTCATCTTCGTCTGTGACACATGCACGTTTGGTTTGGATGAGAGAAGGATAGGGAAAGGTAATAAATAAAAGTAAGATGTGGGAAAGAAAGAAAAAGTAAAGATAGTATATAAACCATTTCTTAATTTTTTTGGACCTAAATGAGAAAAAAATTACGAACTCCAATTTTATTTGGTTGGAGGAGAGGAAGGATGGTAAGGTTTGAATATGTAATTACAAAAATATAAGCTATTTAGGTTTTTTATTTATTTTTTCTAATGGAAAGGGTAAATTTGAAAAAACGTTAAGAAAGGAAAAATGAAGCAAAAAAATTACAAAAATGATTTTGACTATTACTGAGAGTTTATAGAAAGTTCTTCTGTTCTCATTTAAAAAATGTTTGTAAAATAAAAAATTCCACCATTTCCCTTCAAACTCCTCAAAACAATCAACTAGGTTTACATTCAGCAATCTTGGCGATCAAAAACAGTATCCTTTTTTAAAAAGCATGAGCTAATAACGCTCATGATCATGATCATGATCTCCAACCTTTATATATAAATGAGTCACAACACCTAAAAACATTCAAGAACTGATCTTCATCCATTTTTGTTCCAAAAAGTAATCATACATTGAATCAGAAAGCCAAACATAATTATATATTGATTTTGAATGATCAAGACTCAGTGCAGTTAATGATATTGTGCTTGTTCTTAATTCTTACATCAGCCATAATTAACAAAAAGGCATAGCAAAGGGATGACATATGGAGAATCCTTATTTTTTATTAAGCAAATTGCCGAGTTTACATAGAATTTACAATTGCATCATAAAAAATTGGGAATTTGCCCATAAAACAGAAACTGAACTAATTTAGCTGCAGAGTTGATTGATTGATTTTTCAATCAATAGTAATGCATGCAGCTCCATATATATCAAGTCACCAAAAATAACGACAGGACAAGAACCCAACAAGAATAAAAGTATCTATGTCTGAGGCATACACCAACACCACTGCTACTAGTCCACTGCTCCACCGTCTAGCATCCCAGATTCACCAAGGCCATATATATGTGCAACGAGCACAATAACACCATCCCAATGACTGACCGGCAGCATGTTTGATTCCGGCGAACCCAGCAGATTCATAATCCTTGTCGAGAAAATATGCAGCCGAAGGACCACGAATCACCAACCTCTATAAAAATCTCTGGTCTTGGAGAATCTCCTCAAACTCAGAGCCAGACAGATTATCAAGTATAGCATCAGTTCATCCTCATCAACTACATGTAACTAGAGGTCTAGACCTGTAAAAACCATGGATGTCCTGTAAAACCCATGTAAACAACACAAGATGATTAGTACCCAAATTATAAACAATTAAACAACTTAATTAATTAGCTTTTGTTACAAAAATAAAACTCAAAACTATAACTGATCGTGTAAATTATACTAATCATGTAATTAAAAATGTTAGAAACACGAGCAGATCGCTTACTTAGTACTCCTTCAGCAGACAACCTCCTCGAAGGATCCTTGCAAAGCATCCTCTTCAAAAGATCAATAGCTGATGTTGAAACCGATCGAATAACTTTATCGGGAAACCTCAAATCCTTCCTCAAAATCGCCTCAGAAATCTCTTCAACCGTTTCCCCATTAAATGGAGAAATCCCCACAAACATTATATACAACACAATCCCAGCACTCCACACATCCACTTTCTCATCGTGTTCATTCCCTAATAAAACCTCGGGCGCTTTATAATACACTGACCCTACACAACCATTCACCTTCTCACCCTTCCTAACAACCTTAGCTAATCCAAAATCCGCAAGCTTTACCCTATATCTCGTGTCCAATAAGATGTTTTCAGGCTTAATGTCCCGGTGAATGACCCCATTTTTATGACAGTGGTAGATAGCTTTCATTAATTGAGTAAAGAGGGATCTGGCTTCACTTTCACTAAGAACACCTATACGGTTGGACACTAAATCGAAAAGATCTTTGTTTTGGCAGAAATCGATTACCATGTGAACGTGATTTTCGTCCTCGTAGAGCTTGTGAAGTTGGATAATGTTAGGGTGTGGACTGAGGAGGCGGAGTATCTGCGGCTCGTATTTAACTGCGTGGAAGGAGTCTAGCCTCTTGTCGATGGATTTCACGGCAAAAGAGTCACGGGTTAAGCGGGATTGGCAACGATAAACGGTGCCGGATTGTCCACTGCCGAGCTTCTCGCAGATTTGAAACTCTCGAATTACTGCTACGCTCATGTTTTTGCTTGCTTTTTTTGGAGTATGATTAATCTCTCGATCTCTCTGTTTTTGTCTCTGCTTTACGACTAATTTCTTGTTCTTCAGTTTGATGTCTCTCTCTGTCTCACGCCCTAGTAGATTTAAAGGGCTAAAGTCGTCCGACTTTGGGAAGGATCGCGGGACTCTTTTACGAGTAAGGACTCTCCGTTTTTTATATGGTAGCCGTTGCGTAGTGTTGGTGGGAACTTCATACTTGCACATCAAGAAACCCAGACATTAATTATTAACAAAAAAATTCTCTAAATTATTATTATTTTTTCCCGTCTTTATAGTGATTAATAAGAAATTATTTTTTATCAAATTCTAGAACTCAATTTTGATGATGTCGGGGAAAAAGAAAATGATATTTAACTCACAGTTTTCCTTATAAATTAGTTGTTGTTATGGATTTTCATCAAGTAATGTTATTAAGCATTGTTTATATGAAAGTTAAGATGTAAATAGTAACATATTTTAAAACTTTAATCGCTTAAACCCTTCAATTAATAGTATAATTAATCAAGTAAGTCAATTGGATCACAAGATCAAATTAACATATCCAAAAATCATCAAATTTGTTAGTCTTTTTTATTTTTAACTTAATATTTATTCATAACGCAAGAAACATTGAAACAATAACATAAAAGAAATATTAAAAAATAATAAAATACTGAGACAATAACAAAATTATTCATAACACAATAAAAATTAAATAGTGGAGGATTAGCAAAATATCTATAGTAGGTGGACCGATCCCTATAAATGATTCTATCCTTTACTTTGCTGGTTTGTTGAGAGCTTGGTTTTCATTTTTCTATTTTCTCGAATAGCCCATTCAAATAACTCGATCTTGATATCCTATTTTTGAAAGTTACCTAGCAGCAGAGGCTAAAGTTGCAGAACCTGAAACCACTTCAAGATGATTCAATTAATGTTGATGTACATAGCTCTTGGTTGATCTTTTTAGCTGAAAATTGGTGTTTCATGCTGTGTTTTGGAGCACATCAGCTTCAGGATTATTGTCGTGCCACTTTGTAATTTTTTGCAATTTTAAAACTGATAAATGAAATAATTTCAATTATGCTTCACGCATGCCAAATTGAACTATATTTGCTTTGAACATCATCTGGCTCTAAAATGTTTGAGCAAGTTTATACATTGGCAGTTTAAAATCTAGAGTTAGAAAATGTAGGTTGAGAAAAAGCAAGAATAAGCGGTGACATCCGCCCAATCTGGGAAAAGACCCTTCATCCTCTCTGCTTCATCATCTAAAACTTGGTCTAGCACAGCAACATCCACCCTCAATTCGTCAGAACTGCTAGCCTGTACTTTCCAAGAAGAAATTGAAACAACTGTAACAAAATTGAACTCTCTAAAACAATCATCCTTGTTTCCTAGCCAAATCAAGGACAGAACTTTACCTCTAACCAGAAAGTCCAATTTGCCTGGCTGCTTCCACTTAGTCTCAATATGTAGGATGGTGGACCACCGTCAATTGTTTCTGGAGCTGTGCAATTTCCAGAGTGATTACTTATACAAAGCAAAATACTCACAAACAGAAGTGGAATCTTAAAATTTCATACCTGGAAGCATATTGTCTGCTAATGACCAGCTTGATAAAGGACCGGTGATGTTAAGGACTGCAACCCAAACCTCCTCCAAGTCACTAAAAGGACACAACATGTGAAGATTAAAGGCAAAGCATCTGAATAAAATAAAAGTTAAAAAAGAAATCTATGCTCTATGATATAAAATTCGCACACAAGTATTCAAAGAGAGAACACAAGTTAAAATTAAAATTTTAAACTGAGCTTTTTTCAGTAGTTTCACTCCTATGGGGTCAAATAGCATTCCCGTTGCAGACACTTCAGTTTTTGCCCCACGTCTTAAATTTATAGAACATCTACCAATTATCCAGTAAACATACAATGCCACATATTTTGTCCAATATATGTATATGAATAATAGATTTATATTTAAATCAGGCAGGAAGCATATAGACAGTTTGTTCATTCAAAAGAGCAGTAATATGTTAAAGCAACATCACGATCTTTCAAAATTGTCCCGTGGTTTCAGATGAGCAGGTGTAGCTGATCAGCTAGACAGCATACCCTCACCTGGAATAATCCAGTTTCAAATTCCTCCCCCAGCACACAATGTGTGCTACAATCAGAAAATGTCCAACAGTTTCTTGCATGAGCAAAAAGTTGAACTATGAGCATACCTTCATCCTCTCCCTCCAAACTGAGGATGCATGCAACTCAAAGACGTATATTTATGGAGCACAAGACAACTTTTCATGCACTTCCATGAAGATCATCAGTTCATTCTACTTACCCCAAGGAAAATTCCAAGTAAACTCTCCGAGATCTCTCGCTAGAGATGGTATGTGGCTTGTAATTATATAAGTGGGGAAAATATCTATATCGTTTAAAAATGCCATCACTCCTTGCAGGGAACTTTAAGCTTTGAGAAAACAAAAGTGACACTGGAAAAATTCCCTGCCAAAGAAATTAAAAAAAAGAAGAAGAAGGAAAGTTACACAAAATAAAGGTTTATCTATGAATTTGATAGATTTGCAATCATTATAGAGCTTATAATTGAAAACAAAGTAACTTGCCCTTGCTGGGGACTAAACTAAATCTACCACTCCATTGACAGATGAGACAACCTGGCATAACTTATGTGTTCAGAATAAGATATAATCCCCTGTTTGTTCCAACAATAAGGCTGTTATGGAAAATGGCCCAGATTGGGGAGAGAGGAAAGATCAACAAATTAAAAAAAAATACCATGTGCCTCCAGATTTGAATGAAAAAGGGAACATTGCCTAAAGACAGGTCCTGATCATTTAAATACTAAGATGAGAAACCAGACAGCTGTTGTAGAAGCAGTTTCAAGTTATATAACTTGTTATGTCTTGACAAGGCAGAAGAGCCACCTCAAATCATAAATTTGACATAACATTAGCTACTGGCATTAAGTGCGAAATCTGCTTACCAACCAAGTCTCTCGGTGAGACATATTAGCAGTTTCAAAAGATAACTCTTGGCCAATATGCAGTCCCTTTGCCGCTTCAGGAGCATATTTGAAAAGAAATAATAAAGAATTGGAATCTAAAACAGAAAATTCATAGCTGGAGTCCACAATCCTATTTGCATCTGTCAATCCACACAAGTAAAAGAAGTATTCAGACAAGATAGCTGAGAAAAGAGCTTTAGAAATCAAAATTAATCAAGTAGCCCATAACAGAGCTAATAATCAAACTGTGTTCCTATTCACACGTCAATGCGAAATCTGTCTAGCAGTTCTAACTTGATAAGAGTTTTAAAGGGCTTTAAAGATCGAGTGCTCTCTTCTTCATACCAGTAGTAACAAGTGTATGTTGAAAAACAACTCTCTTCGGTGCAACATTGCTGTATGGAAAGAATTGAGACGAGAGAGCAAGAGCAAGTACACTAACATGCAACAAGAGCTGCAAGATTGAAGACCGAGCTAACCATTGACTACAAACAGGTATTAGTGGGCCCACACACCAACCAGTTACAACCCCAACTGCTGCTGCCACTACAACATCAGGAACATAGTACCCTGCAACCATGGATCTGATAATCATAATCGACACTTCACTTCAGAGCATATAATTGATTGCTCAGTTATAATTGTACAAAACAATCATAACCATTCCTTCAGTAGATTATTGACTAATGGAAATAAAACTATCCTATGGCATATTTGAAAGTCATCGGTAGATGAGTACAAGGCAGAACTTTTAAGGGGCTATAAGTTCATCAGCCTCTTTTAGCCAAGGTGAAATTGCAAATACTACCGTGTGACACGTAACAAAAGCAGTCCATATAAAATCTATCCAATAAAATGAAACGTTATATCAAATTTTCTTAAGATAAGAAAGGATAATTCATATACAAAACAGATGGAAATATCTAACAGGCCAATTCTTCATTTTTTACACCTATCCCAAAGTTTTGAATGATCAGCACAGTGTAAAACAAATACCAGGATCTCTGAGTCCATGAATTCAACATAAGGTGAGAAGAGTGTTGCTAAGCCTTGTGCACTCTGCAATCTTTACTTACTAACTATTATTTATACAGAATTCAATTTTCCAATTAAATGCTAGAAACGAACACATATTGATTCAACAATTTCGCTGCTGTCTCTATTTCAGAAGAACAACTGGAAATAATCCAATTGAAAAGGCTGATATAAACAGCATCAGACAAAAAAGTTAAGGAATACTAACCATAGGGAGGTGGGACAGCACCCATCATACCCATCTTCTCAATCAAAAATTGGATAATAAATCCACCAAAATATACTGAGTTTGTGAGACATGGAATTAGAGATGTTACATAAAAAACTGCTGACCTGTAAGAAAGAGCTTAAGTTAGACCACTTCTGTTTATTTCGCTACCATTTACCCCCTTTTTTTCCAATTAGAAAGTGATTAAAATACAGCCACAAAAAAAAAAAAAAAGAAGACTTTAATGTGAGAAAAAAAGAAAAGAGGCAGCAATCTATGGTTCCATTTGACATGCTATCACCTCCATCTCCTGCGAGATTGTTTCAAGTCTTGTTGTAAACAAAAAGAGAGAAAACACTTGAAAATAATAAGGGAAGTAAGTGCCAAAAGATCCAACCATAGAAAAAAACAGAGAAAGAAGTTCTAAACTCTCAAAATGTTCCAGAGTTAATTAAGACATGCCGTTGACAAGTTGCACTTTGGAGCCAATGAAAAAACAGCCCAAACTATATGCAGCAGAAAACAATATGATGTGTTTCAACAGTCTATTGAGAGGATCACAACGAGTGGTTCTTGAAAATAATTCTGCAATAGCAAATTCTATATTATCTTTCAATTAACTGAAGAGTCTCTTTTCAAAAAGTTAACATTCTAAGGACGGACAGCTTGTCAGCAGCTATTGTGTTAGAGTTCAACATGACACATGTCATAAAGAAATCCAAACGCATTCCAAGATGTCAGCACCTATCTTCCAAGGAAGTCTCCAAATGATGCTCAAGGATCACTAAAATGGATGTCCAGCATACTTGAAAGGTGAAAAATTAGCCAGAGTTGATATTTGAGGCTACGGCCATTGCATTATACTAAAGTTTATTAAAAAGTTGCCAGAAGAAAAGACCTCGTGTACATGGATACGTAAATAGACATGAATAACCCAAGAGCTGATAGTTTGAGGGAAGCTTCAACTATTAGAGCAGAAGATAGCATTATAAAGTAGTTGTAAAAGATATTAACATCTCAACAAATTTAAGGAGTCCCCAAATACAGCATTAGAAACCAGCAATGCAACACATGCAACTTCTATTTAATAAGCATTTGGGAAGAAAAATTCAAGCCAAAATTAACAAGGAGGAGTTTGATTGTGATCCATCAAAACCAATACCTGAGTGATTGATGATCATAGGACTTGATAGATAGGGAAAAGAAGATCCATGCAGGAAGCATAGATGCCGACACAAGAAAGGTCAAAAACCCTCCACTCAGCCCAGCAACAAAATAGGCCTGCCTTTACTATAGTTAGCCATAGCAAATTTTTGAAAAACTATCAAAATCTAGAAGGCACATAGATTTCTTCTAAAATAGTAAACTAAAAGTAGGGATTACATACCGAAGTGAAGCAAGCATAAAATCCAAATGCTCCCCAAAACCTTGCTTCTTCAGATAGTGCCTACAAAATACACTCCATTTCAAATATCTGCTAGCTTCAGTGATGGATGGTGCTCCTGGGCTAGATTTAAACACCCATCCAGAAGACACATACAAAACTCCAACATACTCAAGGCATAATGCTATCAAAGTTTAAAAAAATATGGGGGAAAAAAAGATTAGCCACACAACGCAAATCAAAGAGTCCAGTGAATCAAGTCACTAACAATTGTGATCGAATTGCATGTTTTATGGAAAGTTTATCTTATGATGATTGCAGTTTGGCTCATTAAAGGGGAGCTTTGGAAAGAGAATTTGGAGGCAATCTTACCCTTCTACCTTTTAACATGAAATTGTTTGCTGCTCTCAAGGCACAAAACTGCAACCTTGAGATCGCAAGCCAAAAGTTTACGCTCACCATTGTTCCAAGCAATGACCCATTGTTAACATCATAAGGAAAGAAACAAAATTTTTATAAGAGAGAAGTGAAATGTGTCCATCATCCATATAAAGTAGCTGATGCGATTCAAGAAAATAGTTTTCAGCAATTCATTTTTGAAGAACATTTTACAATTAGCAAATATCCTAATTAGGCCTACTATTACAATCAATGCTTTGCTGTTCAACGAAAACTACTATTAGATGTGAAGCTCAACAATACAGTAATCAAAGTAAAGACAGTGACCATAAATTGTCCACTGATCTCTACTAAATGCCTTTGCTCATCCTTAGCAATCGGAGGACATCCTGCCCCATTTATGAAAGCAACTTATCCTCCGTTCATGTTTGTCTATTGGTTTTCAATTCCTAGTAAACTGGTTTTCTATCTTGTTTTCTCATATTCTAATGCAGACTTGCATTCAAATCAATTATTTTGAAATTTCTTTGCATTGATGAAGTAAGCAAAATGCTGCACGACTTGAACACCAAATGAAATGGTATACTTACTATTATTATTATTATTATCCAAAGACATATTCCAAATGACTATTATTAACCTAGGATGATCAGATTCAAAGAAATCCCAATTTGCAAGCATTTCTAGTCCTGTGGTTAAAAAAATGTAACAAACATCGCTGAAGAATTAATTACTCAAAAATTATATGATATCTAATTGTACCTCCTCTGACTTCTTGATAGCTGAAACATTTTGAGAGAGGGGGAAACAACCCCAAACAGTTCTTGGAATCAGCAAACCAACAAGTGAGCATGGGACGAACATCAGGAACGCCAGGTATGGATGTGCAAACCTGCATTGGAATCTTGCATGTCAATGAGAACCATGACCAACAGTTCTAACATCATCCTCTATCTACTCCTAAGTTACGGAAGAGATTTATGGTGTCCCATGGGAGTTCATCATTATAACATCATCGTTGTATAGAAGTTCATCTTTTTGTTGAATAAAACGGAACTGCTGAAGAAGACCATGGCCAGCAGTTTAAGACCCCAGACTCACACCTGACACACCTTTTCCCATTCGAAATTCCAGGGAGAATAAAACAAAAGAAACAGAGAACAAACTCACCAGCTCATCGCATAATTAGAAATGAGCAGTCGCACAATGGCAAGGATAACTGGGAAAATAATTGCCAATAGAATCCCAGCAGCATGAAAAAGCATTCCTGGAAAATAAACAAATTCTGAGTATATTAAAAAAAATCTCCAATACGTATGTTTTGTCTATTAACTTATCAATGTGGAGGTAGCTGTGGGGTATCAGAGCATGGAGATTCAGAAAAAAAAAAATCAAATAAAGTTCAGCAGTAGAGAGTCAACCTTTCACAAAGTCATAGAAGATTGCAAAACAAGAACGTGACCTAGAATCCCAAAAATGCAAAAGGAATGGCATGACAAGAAAGATGGCAGTAGGAATGCTATGAAGTACCAGAGCTACCCTTTTTGAATAGAATACCTGAAGAGATAAATGTTATACATTACTCAAGGTCATAAAAGGTCATATAGTGAGTCATAAATCTGTTAAAACTGAAGTAGAAATGATGAAACATCGGATAGAGCAGATATCATAAATTTCGCAGTGTACCATGAACAATGATAAGTAATCAAAGAAAACAGCCCTCTCATCCTTGTAGTCATTTGCTGTAGCTTCAAGAGAATCTCTTTCTCGAGCACTTTGTAGCTTAGAAGAATTTGTGAAGCCTTTCAGTATGCTGAACAAATTGTCTCCACGTGCTTGCATGCTCCCAGGTCTAGAGTGAGTACATTCAGATGCATCAGAGGATGTGCTTAAGAATGAAGTGACAAAAGAATTCCAATGAAGTATGTATACCAAAATAGCAGAAGTAAAGCATACAGTAATTTGTCCAATGTATCATAGGATGTATGGTAGTAATAACCACCAAGAAGAAAGATAATATCCAAGCTTGGAATATTTCCATGATCTTGGGAAAATATCCTGTAGTCCGTATCTCCAGGAATAACAGGAAAGATGTCCTATGTAAAGAAATAGATCATTTAGAATTGAAATAATTAAATGCAAAGAGCAGACATGCACAGCAGAGAGGTGTTGGGATAAACTCATATACATGTTAGGAGGGTTTTATACTGGCCCAAATGAATATGAAACAAAATCAGGTAAATAGTATTTGTTTCTTTCTTTCCTTTAAGAATAACCACAAAATAAAACACTCATCAGAATGTTTTGGAGTTCAATTTCGAAAACAAGAAAGAAAAAGAAAACCTGAGCAGCACTATGTGCCATGGGATATACTGCAGACTCTGCATATACTTGAGAAGGCCAAGGCCCAGGTCCAGATTGGCAGACTAAATCTGTCAATACAACAGTATTCACATTAGCATAGAGCAGCAAGACCATTACACGCAACTCGGAATCATTAGGAAAAATTCAAAAACATAAGTTCCCAACTACCAACAAATAAAATTTCAATTCAATTCTTATATTTCCATATCTGGCAGCTTTGGAAGTGAGTGACGTCAAGAACATGGTAAATTCATTCTGATAGTTTTGAGAATGTATGATTAACGAACTTTAAGAGGCTGCCTGGATCAATCATGATCTAGGAAAGAAGTTGTATGTTCTGTAGATCACAGGCTGCTTTCCAGTTTCTGCTCTAAATCCTGTTCCCTTTTCCCCAAACCATCGAGTCAATGTTCTGTATGCATTCTAAAAAGGTTGAAGAAAAGTAACATTGGAATTGGATCATATCCTACCAGGACCAGCTGTCCCAGATGCTTCCACATTTATAGAAGCTCCAATTGAATCACGCCATTTATGTGTCTTCATGAAGCCATGTGCACCCTGTAACATCATAATCAACCAAGCTCCTTTAAAAGTAAAAACGAGAGAAGTTAAAGGGAAAATAACTTGTGAAATAATGGTGTATTAAATGTATTTTTACTGCAAGAAATTTGTTGTTGTCCAATAGAGTTGGAAAAAGAAAACTGCATTCAGCATGTTCAGAAATATGATTGGTCCACAATGGAAATCTCGACACATCATGTGTTTTAAAACGATAATCTAACAATAATATTGCACTAATGCATATCTCGACGAAGTAAATGTTTTAAAAAGTTAATCAAACAATAATACTAATTGCAAACAGATCCTATACCAACATAAAAAGTTCTTCTGCACCGTTAAAAAGAAAAATAATAGGTCGAGGGGAATCCAGCCAGATTCTGCAGTAACTCTAGCTAATTCCAGCATTGATGCTGCAAAACAATTAAAACATTTGGAATGACTAAGCACGGAAATTGACTATCAACCAGCAGGTTGAGATATTTAAGGCAGTCCAAGTGGTTAAGAGATGTAATGCACTCACCAACACATGAACCACAATCACTGGCTCCAGGTGAACCAAGAGGACTATCAAAATGGCCATTAATTAAAACAGATGGGTCAGTTTCTTGTGAATCTGCTGATGATATCCTGTCATTAAGTAAAAGTTAATTCACGATGTTGTTTTCCAAAAATGTAAGATAAAAATACACTCTTTTTCATGTCATAAGGCATACGCATTATAGTCAATTATAATACCGCACAAGTAAAGTAAAAGCCCAAAGCACAGGATGGAATCTCTATCACTTATCTCGTAATCCAATAGGGTAACTTTTCCTCTTAGTGATTTCCTATGCATCACTTAGAGCTTCCTTCTAAAATGTAATGTGACAGCTTTCTTATTATTTTCTGAGGTAAAAAAGAAGTTAAAAATTTTCACTTTACTTGATTAAGGTTCCTAACTTTAGTTCCAGCAGTGAACAGTGCAGTTTCAAATGACGCTTTAACATGCAATTAAATTTTTGCGGTGCTGAATAGCTTATACGTAATAACCCCAGATGCCACAATTTCTTGACAAAGATATACAGCCCATATCATTGAAAATGGAAGACACATAGTTCATTAGAGCATGCATCTCACATTTCGTAGCGAAAACACCAGTCAGTCTTTCAAGAAAATCCCACAGCATGGTCCTAATTTGCAAGCAAATTGTAACTTCACTCATACTTGATGGAAAAAAGGAAAAAAAAAAAAAAAACCATTCATCGGATGATTCTAGCACTAATTGAACATCAGCACATGAAACACAAACTGGAACAGACGATAGCACTTCAATAAGAAGTAAAGGAATTACCTGGCAACAATATTAATATGGTTTCTATAACCGAAAGACATGCTGTGCCCTAAAACTACCATATTAAAGGAACCATTAACAGTTGCCTCTTCAACCTCAATTCTGCAAAATTAAAATTACAGAAGTGAATAAACCAAACTCATAACTATCTCTTAAAACTCATAACTATCTCTTAAAAAGTCAACCACACCAGCATTACTGAAGAGAAAGTATCAACCTGATATTGGATTCAGCTCTCTCCTTTAACATTTCTAACTGTTCTTTAATATACACCGCGGCTTTTCTTAATCCAGGACGTCCTTCCTTTAGTTTCAACATTACAGCCAATTAATAAATAATTAAATAATTAAAATCTTACGCAAGAAATATAGAGGACATGCAAACACAGAGAGGAACTGACTTGACGACCGTCTTTGGTTAGAACTGCAATATGTTGGATGGCTCTGGCCTCGGAGAAGCGATCGAGAGGGGCGTCGATCGAGAGAGGCTTAATGAATTTCATGTGAAGTATGGAGTAAACAAGAAGCGATATGAGACCGAAGATGATCGTTAGAAAGAAGAGGAATTTGAATCCAGATACATCTCTGGAGCTCAGCCTCAGCGCCATTTCTGGATCTCTATTTTTTTTTTTTTTCCTAAAAAATGTCTTCCGAGACTGGAACGTGAAATACTATGACAACATAAAATAAACAGAGTGGATTATTACATATATGTGGAAGGAGAGTAGAAGGTGTTGAAATTTTCAACTTACGAAAGGATGCCAAGTTTTGTTATCGTCAGTGGCAGTTCATTTGGAGGGCTAAACGGACCGTTGGAAATTTCTTGGAAGACAACAACAAAAGAAATGGTACCGCCTCTCCCTCCACTGCGTCCCGTTTGCTGGTGTTGAAATTCTGTGGGCTAGTCTTCTGGGCCGAAGCTAGGTTTTGTATTTTGGGCTTTAATCACCTTAAAGATGAAAGATAGAGCCTAACCCAAATCACCTCTTGTAGGTTGCAACCCGACTAGCGGAGAAGGCAAAGGCCTAAAAATGAGTCCTGGACATTCCAAGTATACGAGTCTTTGGTGGCTAGATGAACCTATCCGTGCGTTTGGCTTTCTGATAGTAAATGAGAATTTTTCACGTAAGTGCTTAATGCATGTTGATTTTTTTATAGATAAGTTAATATATGTTAATTCTTTCTATAATAGAATATTTAGCATTTTATTTATCTTATTTCTTTTCAATCCAAATAATACAAAATAATTTTATTTATAGTATTACAATGCAAACTCTTAGTTTCTTTTTCTTCTATATATGAACTCACAACAAAATCAATTTATACTTTTGGCTTTTTTTCTCTGTCCATTTTATACCTTTATTATCAGTGTTTGTGGGTTTTTTTTTTTTTCTAATTTATCAATGTTTGTTGTTTTTGGGTTTCAAAACGACTATTGAAGATACAATGAATATTATGTGTTTGCTATAGAAAAACGGGTAATTAGAACAAAACATGAATTATACATGTGTGTTCATTAATATATCTAAATAAAACGTGTCGTTGTATGATTTTTAATTCCATTTAAGATGTAGGTAAAAAAACAAATCCAAAACTTCTATCTCGGGTGTCTTACACAGTCCTACTCTTAATAATAAATCCAAATAATTAAATCTAGTTTCATTAAATAGAAAAGATAAATAGCACATCTATTTAATGAAAATATACGCTACGATCAGTTCTATCTAGCTAATGTCAATCATAATGCTATCATAGTTTCTCAATTATGGTATGTCAACATAAAAAATATTTGGCCACCATGCGAATGCTAAAGGTTGTTGGTAATAAACAAAAATAAAAAAGCACCATCCTACTCTTTTTTCCTTACAACTTGACTAGAGCTTTAACTATATAAACAATCAATGGACATAAAGTTTAAGGTTTTGAATCTCTACCAACAACTATCACTTGTTGTCTTATTCTTGCTTGCATCAATACTATATCACTATGTATTGTCAAGCCACTATTTTTTTATATATTAATTTAATCATCAAAAAATCCTCCAATATGCTAGAATGTTTGTTTTGCAAATATCTCAACTAGTTTGATCTTCATCTGTTATCAAACTTAATAATTATACTAGTCAAGAAAAAATCACTTCATCACACATTATTATTTGAGATTCATGATCTCATTATTCGCCTTTTATGTTTTTAATTGTTCTAAAATAAAATCAAAGTTTATAAAAATTAAAAATTTCACTTACGAGTGTGGATAAATTGGCTAGATTAAAATAAATAAAACTCCAACTCTAATTTGTATATATGAAAAAAATGTTAATTGAGATTGGAATAAGAATTTTATTCTCATTTATTTTGAAATACTATAATAAACTCCACATGCGTTATGGTTTGACAATAACGAGTTGTTTGGCATCATTTTTTGTTTCGTTTTTTTGTTTTTAGGAAATCAAATTTTTTTTTATTGTTTTATGAAAATTGTTTATTTTTTAATGAAGATATATAAAAGAAATATTTTTATACAAACTTAACTTAAGAAATATAATAACATATTATTAATTGAAAATTTTATAAAGGATAATAATATATTATGTAATTTAATCATTATTATTTAATGGTGGCATTTTAGTAACAACATGTATTGTACTGGTGGTGATACGAAGAGGGTTGATATTATGCTAAAAGTGATAATAAGAATTTATAATGATATAATTTTTTTTTATTATTGTAATTTTATTGATAAACTATGATGGTTATGGATAATAATTATATGAGACAAGTGCTTGTGACGAATGGTTGTGATAAAAATAGTCATGATATGTTGTGAAGGTTATAAAGATACCGATGACACTCGATGATAATGGCGTAAATGTCAAAGAAGGTTTAGATAGCTAATAAGTTAAATGAAATTGATAATTATGATAACTACGATTGTTGTAGTGGTATGATTACGATGATAACGAGTGAAAGTAATCCTAGTGACATGGTGATAAATGCTAATAATTTTGATAATATATTATTTTATTAATAAAAAAATAAAACATAATACTAATTTTTATTGTTTTAAAAACTTGTTTTAATTTTAAAATTGTACTTGTAAAAAAGCCAGCATAATAATACAATAAAAAATGTTTTTGTTTTTTTTAAACAAGAGCCATACCGTATAACCCCTAAATTTTTTTTTCTCCTATTCATGTATGAGATGTGTGGCTGTCTAATTGCACACACAGCAAGAGAAGTGATAAATATTCAAATAAAAATTAAAAAATCACCATTTGATTTGATGGAAATACTGAGTGGCTTCCGACAAACCAAATCGGAATATAACTTTGTGAAAGTTATCTTCACGCCCTATAGAGCTAGGGGAGGGCAGCAGCTTCCTAGCATGTTTTATTTTTTTGAACCATTATATACATTCACTACGCTTTAATTTTCAAACAATTCAATTTAATCCCTGTGTCCCTTAATCTATATACAATTGAATCCTCAATTTCAATTTTTTTATTTTATTTTTCGAAGCTAAAAAATCTCTCTCTGCATGCATACTATTTTCAAACAACAAAATATGTAGTCTTAAAAAGAGTCAAAATATTTGTTTTTTTTAAACATAAAATTAAAACTAAAACAAAATCTTGAAAATTTGACTTACGCTTTTTAGTTTTGATAAAATCAAATTATTATTCAAAATCAACGTGCACATAATTGAGTGATGACACAAATTATGATAGTGTATGTTTAGCTATGTATTATATCTCCTTCAAGTTTTATTTAGGATGCACTTCTGATATAGTGTTTGAATGAGGCTAATGTCTATTTTTTATTTATTAGGAACTAATATTCAAACAAATAAAAAACAAAGAAAGTTTCTGTGCTAGGAACCTAGCTTCTGTAATAGCCATGTGACGTTAGGCAGCATGGGCGACATCCATGATTCTCTGTCTTGGCATTTGCATTGCTTTCAAAGTCTCAAAAAGTCAAAAATAAATAAATAAATAAATAAAGTTTCCGATGCCCTTTTTTGCCAATTTTGCAACAATTGCCACATGGCAGTTACCTCCAATATAAGATTAGAAGACCAACTAAAAGGGACATAGCAGTAGACTGAGGTAGCAAACTCCAAAAACATAACGCATTTATCCTTGCTTTTGTCGTCGGCAGAATTCATTGCACTGTACTATGTATTCCACGCGCTACTCAAGCTTGTGGAACACACAGTTGCAATGACTTTTTTGGAGTATTTTTTTGAAGTGGAGTTGTTTTAAACGTGCGTCCCAAAATATGGTTGTTTTAAACTTCCTATTAGAAAGAAAAAAAAAAGAAGATAGTTTTAAACTTATTTTTTAATTTAGAATATTATATGTGATGTAAGTTCTAACTCAGCAATTTTTATAATATTTTTTCCTTAATATACCGATAAAGATATAAATTAAACTAAAATCTTATTTTGCAAAAAATTAAAAAAATATGAATATTGAAATTTCTCATTTTCTTGTGCTTATGGCTGTTTGAATAACACTATTAAAAAAAATCAGATCTTTTACGATTGTAACTCATTCTCCATCTGCTAAAGGACGTTCATATGTGCATAAAACATGATAGATTTCAATTGATTGAATAAGAAGAAGAAATAGAGAGAGAAAATTGTCTATTGATAGAATAGATTCTAGAAAAAATGAATGAATGAATGAATTTTTCTCTCTCTAACCAATTATAACTAACTTCTACTAACTAATTTGTTACGTCATCAATTAGTTATTAATAGCCAAGTTTGTTTACGTAAAACAAAATGACATATTTTTCATTCTTTAACATTTTTTCTCCTAGAAACATCTTTTTCCTCAAAAATCAAGAAATTACAATTCAAATTCTTCTATGATTTCCCAAGTAGCATCATCTCGAGATAATCCAATCCATTAACGAGTCTCATCACACTATTTTGTTGTCCTTCTTTATAATCTTCATGTCCGGAATAGTTAATGGGAACAACTTCATGTGGCCATCATCATCTATCGTAGGTAATGAAGTTGAAATGACAACATTGTTACCAATCTTCCTTTTAAGTAAAAAAGACATGAAAAATTGGATGAATAAAGGCATCTTTTGGCAAGTCAACACATGTAAACCTCCTTGCCAAACCTTTGCGGAATTGTGTAGGGACCAAAAGTATCTAGAGTTCGAGTTTAAAATTCTTTTTTAATGTCGGGCTTGCTTGTTTGTAGGATCTGAAACTTTAGATAAACCTTGTCACCTACCTCAAATTTCCTTTTTGTTCTTCTCCGGTCTACAATTTGTTTCAAATTATACCGAGCTTATGTCAATTGACCCTTTAAAAACAAACTCATAGCTCACCTTTTCCATACCAAATCATTGACAACAACAACAATTGTTAAAGCACCTTGAATAACAATTCTCTATTTGGTGGCGAAAATCAATTTAAAGCATAAAAAGAACTCATTTGATAAGCTAAATAAAAGTCGGTATTATACCATCATTATGCCAAATGAAGCCACTAACACCATTTCTTTGGACACTCCACGCGTGTATATCTCAAGTAGATTTATAAGCATTGATTTAGTCTCTCGGTTTGGCCATCGGTTTGTGAATGATAG